TCCCAGTAATTCATTTTTGCTTTTAATTCCCTTGCCTTTGGGGATGTGTTGAGTAAGAGATTGCTACGGCTGAGGTCAGAGAGGTCTTTTCCTGCTTTTAGGAGGAAAATTTTAACTGCGCCTTCACGGTTAATAGGTATAGGGCTCTTCAAATCATTTATTTCTTGTGTAAGCTTTGTTAGTGTTTTTCATAGAATTTTTTCACTTTCAAGTTGTCAAACTGTTATCCATGTATACTCTTAATACCTTATTACCCTTCTAATGTCAGTAGGATCTGTGGTGATAATCTCCTTTTTCATGTCTGATACTTGTATTTTATATTTTCTTTCTTGACTTGACGTTTGTCTATTTTGGTGAATGTTTCAGGCACTTGGAAAGATCACACTTTCTGCTGTTAGGTACAGTGTTCCATGAATATCATTTAGGTCAAGCTGGTTGATTTACTTAGGTTGTTTCATTCATATCTTCTGTATCTTTACTGATTTTATTTATTCTGTTACTGAGAGAGGTGTCTCCACCTACAGTTGTGGATTTACTTACTTTTGAGTTCTATCAGTGGTTACTTTATGTATTTTGAAGCTTGTTACTGGACACCTATACATTTAGGATGGTTATTTCTTTTGATGATTTACCCCTTTTTTTTATTAAAAAAATTTTTTTAATGTTTATTCATTTTTGGGAGAGAGACAGAGAGCATGAGTGGGTGAGGGGCAGAGAGAGAGAGGGAGACACAACTTGAAGCAGGCTCCCGGGTCTGAGCTGGCAGCAGAGCCCAATGTGGGGCTCGAACCCATGAACCGTGAGATCATGACCTGAGCCAAGTTGGACGCTCAACCGACTGAGCCACCCAGGCACCCCTGATGATTTACCCCTTTACTATTATGAAATGTCTTTCTTTATCCAGTGTTGTACTGTCTGTTTCAAGTTCACTTTATGTGATAGTAATAGAACCAATCCGGTTTAATTTTGATTAGTGTTTGAAGCATATGTTTTCCAACTTTTTACTTTTAACCCGTCTGTGTTTTTCTATTTAAAGTAAGTTTATTATAGACAGCATGTAATTATGTCTTGTTTTGCTTATATCCATTCTGAAACTTCTGCCCTTAATAGGACTGTTTAGTCATTAGCCATATGTGCTGATTTAAATTTAGGTTCAAATGGGGCGCCGGGGTGGCTCGATTGGTTAAGCATCCAACTTCAGCTCAGGTCATGGTCTCCCCATTTGTGGGTTCAAGCCCTGCGTAGGGCTCTGTACTGACAGCTCAGAGCCTGGAGCCTGCCTCAGATTCTGTGTCTCCCTCTCTCACTGCCCCTCTCCCGCTCACACTCTCTCTGTCTCTCAAAAATGAATAAATATTAAAAAAAATTTTTTTTTAATTTAGGTTCAAATGAATTAAAATTAAATACAATTACAAATTTAGTTCCTCAGTTGTACTACTTTTCAAGTGCTCAATAACCACATATGCTAGTGACTACCATAGTGGACAACACAGATACAGAATATTTCCATCATGACAGAGAGTTCTATTGGACAACACTGTTTAGACTATTTACCTTTAATGTAATTCCCTGTGATTGGATTAAATCTATTTTGCTATTGTCTAATAGCTCACTGGTGATTTCTTTATATTTTTCCTTTATTTTTATTATTTTTACACAGAGAGAGTATGAACACACACGAGAGCATGTGCGAGCAGGGGAGGGGCAGAGGGAGAGAGAGAAGCTCAAGCAGGCTCCACACCCAGCAAGGAGCCTGACAGGGGACTCTGTCTCACAACTCTGAGATCAAGACCTGAGCTGAAACCACGAGTCAGAAATTTAACTGACTGAGCTACCCAGACACCCCTGTATATTTTTCCTAGTCTTTTTTTTTTTTTTCTGTGCTTCATTTTGGTAGTTTTTGTTGCTTTGTCTTAAAATTTAGTTACTTTCTCCTCTAAGATGATATTATTCTTATCCATTGTATTTTTTATTCCTTGAAGTCCCATGAGGTTTTTTGTTGGTTTTTTTTTTTTTTACATCTTCTTTGCTTGTTCTGCTCACATTTTCCTTTACATCACTGAGTATATTTTTTTAAGATTTACATTTTAAGGTTCTTAACCTCCAAAGTCTCCGTTACTGTCATTTTATGGTATATTTCTATTGGTTTATTTTTCTCCTGGTATGGATTATGTTTCTCCTTTCGTGCCTGGTAATTTTTTTCGGCTGCTGGACATTTTACATTGTTGAGGGCTATATTTTCTTGTTCCTTGCAAAGGTGTGTGATTTTGTTATGGTCCAGTTACCTGCACATTATTAGCTTATTTCTTTTGAGGCTTTGAAGCTTTATTCTAAACCTTTTCCTTGGGCTAAAATATAGCTATACTATTAAATTGTGACCATTTAGAGGACTTTAATCAATACCCTGTGTGTTACAGAGTTACCACACTCTGGCTGATGGGGAGAGAACTATTCCTAGACCTGTGTGATCTCTGACTGTCGTTGAGTCTACTGCTTGCATTTGGTGCTTTCCTTGACTTTGGGACGTTCTATTCATCGTATGTCAGATAACCAAACACACAAAGGAAGACCTCTTTTCAGCTCTCTGGAGCTTTCTTTCTCATTTTCTGGCTCCCTGTAGTTCCCTGCTCCACAAATTCTAGCTTCTTAGGCCTCCTTGACCCTTGATCTCCATCTTCTAAATTTGATTAAGATTTCTGGGCTCTATCTCTTTGTGCTGCAGCCCAGAAAGTGCCTTCAAGCAATAAGTTAGGGCAATGCTAGGCCTTACCTCATTTGTTTTTTCTTCTCTCAGACATTTGTTGTCAAATGTCTGAAAACTTGTATCAAGTTTTTTAATTGTTCATGATGAGAAGATTGTTCAATTGTTCACGAACAAAAGTAGGACTCCTCTATCTCATCTTTTTTTCAACGTTTATTTATTTTTTTTTGGGACAGAGAGAGACAGAGCATGAACGGGGGAGGGGCAGAGAGAGGGAGACACAGAATCGGAAACAGGCTCCAGGCTCCGAGCCATCAGCCCAGAGCCTGATGCGAGCCTGACGCGGGGCTCGAACTCACGGACCGCGAGATCGTGACCTGGCTGAAGTCGGACGCTTAACTGACTGCGCCACCCAGGCGCCCCTATCTCATCTTTTTTAATGACTGTATCATGCTCTGTAATACAAATATAGTATAATTATGACTCCAGTGATGACTACTTAGATGTTTTGTTTGTTTTTTGCAGTCACAAAATCAGATCCACAGTATTCAAATATATATGTGTGCATGCACGTGTGTCTATGATGTCTTTCAATCATTGGCAAACAGCATATAGTAAATAGTTCAGGCTTTGTGGGCCACATAGGGACTCTATGGACTGTTTTATTTCTAAGTAATCTCTGCACCAAACATGAGGCTCGAACTCCCAACCCCGAGATCAAGAGTTGCATGCTCTACTGACTGAGCCAGCCAGGCACCCCTCATATTCTTCTTTATTTATTTCTTCACAACACTTTCATAATCTAAGAATAAATCTTAGCTTGTGGGCCAAACAAAAATAGGCTGTTTGCTGACCCCTGCTTCGGTGTTGCCATAAGATAGGGCTCCAAAAGTAGACATAGTCAAAGGATATCCGTTTAAAATTAGGGTAGATAATAGTATCAGATTGCTCTCCAAAAGACTATGCCAATTAATACTCATATGTTGAAAATATTAGGATGCTTGTGTAGAGGTCTTTTCAAACATTAACTTTCTATTTTTTATTTCTTTTTCTGACATCAGCACTATGTTCAACTCCATGTATAAATATTCCTGCCTCTCCATTTATGCAGAAGCTTGGCTTTGGTACTGGAGTAAATGTCTACCTTATGAAAAGGTGAGTATAACATTCCAGATTAACCTTTTCACATGAAACATAGATGCACTGTACTTGGAGACAAAGAATATGAAAATTCAAATATTTTGATTTGAGGTATGTTCCTGACCTTATCCGACTGCTATATTCCAGTCCTAGAACATTTTATAATTTGTCAAGAGTTTTTCCTGGTATACTTTTCTCCTAACTTCCTGGTGATGGGTTACTGAAGAAGTAATTTACAATTTTTCCTTGGCTTGTGTGGGAAGGGAAAGGGATAGAGGAAAGGGGTTCCTGTATGGTAACCATGCAGGATTCTCAATAAGAAAATCTCAGAAAGGATGCTAATATTGGGGGATGTCAATGACTGCTAATCTCTGTTTGTAGAGTGGCCTTCTCAAGATGCTCTCATTTAAAGAAGTAAAGTTTTTTATTTCTTCTGTCGTTAAGTGAGAAGGGTATATACAGGATTTTAAAGCAGGAAATTTGTGTTAAAAGAAAAATGAAATTATAAGTGTCAACAAACACATTCTTAAAAAAATTGTTTCTGTAGGGGCGCCTGGGAGGCTCAGTCGATTAAGCGTCTGACTATTGATTTCTGCTCAGGTCATGATCTCACAGTTTGTGGGATCGAGCCCCTTGTCAAGGCTCTGTGCTGACAGTGCAGACCCTGCTTGGGATTCTGTCTCTCCCTCTGTCTCTGCTCTTCCCCACTCTCTCAATAAAAAAATAAAAACTTAAAACAAAATTTTTTTTTCTTTAACTCATTACTCTGTACCTAGTTTCATGTTTCTTAAGTGGCAAACAACTTAGGTCAATATATATTCTTTAATGCATTCTTAGAATTAGCCTGACTTCCACCGTATCCTTAGGTTCATCCAGGTTTATGTCGTTTCCAAATAGAAATGCTTTCTTCAGTAAAAAGCTAATGAATTGAGGGCCGCCTGGGTGGCTCAGTCAGTTAAGCATCCAACTTCGGCTCAGGTCATGATCTCATGGTTCATGAGTTTGAGCCCCACTTGGGGCTCTGTGCTGCCAGCTCAGAGCCTGGAGCCTGCTTCAGATTCTGTGCCTCCCTCTCTCTTTGCTTCTCCCCTGCTCGTGCTCTGTCTCTGTCTCTCAAAAATAGATACATGTTAAAAAAAATTTTTTTTAAAGCTAATGAATTGAGAATAACATAGCAATTATATATAAGTGGCTATTCTTGAAGAATTTTTGCAGTTTAAACACCTTCTTTGTGTGTTTCTGTGCTATTTGTTTTCTGGACATTCTTTAGTGTCTAAAAACTCTTGTCCAAACTATTTTGAAAGGAAAACATTTCTCACAGGTTCATGGTTAGTCTCGTTTTCCCCCCTTTTAAAAAAATGTCCTTAAATGTAAACTGTGTTGCCAACAAAGTTCTATGTATGAGAGACTTAATTAGAAAGCTTCACATTGTTGATACTGAAAAATAGCCCTCACTGCCTGACCATACCACTCCTAATGTGGCCCTGTCAACCCGGGATTTTCTTTTACTGGGAACCTGGACATTTCCTTTACTTCTCTAGTGAATTGGATCCTGTTTTTCTGTATCTTATATCTTACTGTTTCTTGGTTTACATTTCATTTTGATTGAGGGCATTAGTAGCTCCCCATGAAAAGATGCACAGGAAGTAGATTTTTGATAATTTGCATTTTTGAAAATGTTTTCATTTTACCCATGTACTTGAATGGCCCTTTTTGTTTTTCTGGATCACAATTCTCCTCTGGAAATAATTTTCCTCTAGAATTTCGGGGGCATTGCTCCATTGTTTATTAGCTTATAGTGGCGCTCTTGACATTTCTGAAGCTTTTTATATGATCTGTTTTATGTAATCTGTCCCTCCCACTGTCCTGGAACCTTGTATGATCTGTTTGTCACCAGTGTTCCTGAAATTTCACAATGACATACATGGGTATGGACCTTTTGGAATCTGAAAATTCCTACTCTTAAATTTTAAGGTACTATTTTTAAAATTGTTGATAGTTTTTACCACCTTTCCCCCCTACCCCCCATTCTCTTCTCTATCAGGAATTCCTATTATCTACCTTTTGCGGGGGGGGGTTCTTCTTTCTCTCTGTCTTTTTGCCCTGTTTTCTGGGAGATTTCTCCAACCTCATCTTCTGATATGTCTATTTTTTCATTTTTGTCTCTCTTTTTTTTAAAAAATTTTTAGACAGAGCATGAGTGGGGGAGGGGTAGAGAGAGGGAGACACAGAATCCAAAGCAGGCCCCAGGCTCTGAGCCGTCAGCAGAACCTGAAACGGGGCTCAAACCCGCAGACCATGAGATCATGACCTGAGCCAAAGTCAGATGCTTAGTTGACTGAGCCACCCAGGTGCCCCTGTCTGTCTTGTTTTTAATGAACTATTTGAAAGTTTTCCATTCTAAAATGGCATCCTGAGTCTTTTGAGGGTGCTATAAGTGCTCTGTATCCGGATCTGGATATTAATATACACATGTGAAAACACATTGAGCATTTAGTGTGCATCTGGCCACGAATTACCCTTTCCTCGTGTGGTTCACAGGTTCTCAAATGTGCCAGTACTAATCTCAGTTAAAGACCCTCTGCCTTTATCCCTTCCAAAGCCAGTCTCCAGTCTTCAGAAGCCGGGGGATTAGGAGGTGGACAACTGCTACTGATACAGAATTGGGGAGGGCATCTAGGAATTCATCTGCTTTTTTTTTTTTTTTAACGTTTATTTATTTTTGAGACAGAGAGAGACAGAGCATGAACAGGGGAGGGGCAGAGAGAGAGGGAGACACAGAATCTGAAACAGGCTCCAGGCTCTGAGCTGTCAGCACAGAGCCCGACGCGGGGCTGGAACTCACGGACCGTGAGATCATGACCTGAGCCGAAGTCAGACGCTTAACCGACGGAGCCACCCAGGCGCCCCTGCTTTTTAAGTAACTTTCAGGAAGTTCACTGGGCCTGTTAAGTCAGTTACTTTAATCTTTTTTCCAAGCTTCCAGAAATGTGTTGTCTCCTCTGCATTATTTCCATTCTTCTTGTTGGATATAGGTCTTAATATACCCATTTGCTTTTATGTTAGTGGGGCTTGGGAGGTATCAAAATCATATGTGTAGTTTCAAGCTATGATTTTAATCTAGAAGTCTATATTTTTTTATGTTAAATCAAATTTGCATTCCTAAATTAACTTAGTTGTGATATATTACTATTTTTTAATAAAACTGCTGGCTTCATTTTGCTTTTTAGGAGTTTTACAGATATGATTTAAGTGGAATTGGCTTGTGATTTTCCATTTTCGCTGTCCCTGTTTGATTTGTTTATTAAGGTTATACTAAATTCATAGTCCCCTTTCTTTCTATTCCCTGGAACAGTTTATGTAAGATGGAACGATAGCTTCCTTGAAAGTTTAATAAACTCACTTGTAAAATTATTTAGGCTTACTGTTTGTTACAAGGATATTATAAACTCTTGATTATGTTTTCTTAGAAATTTGTCCATTTTGTCTTTTAATTTTATTGAGGTAAAAGTTGTATTTATTCACATATTTTTGTATCTCTGACAAATCTGTGGCTGTTTTTGTTAACAATATTATTGTTCGGGTCTTCTTTTATCTTTTTTCCTACTGCGGTCTCATTAAAGACCTGCCTGTTTTATCTTTTCAACAAACCAACATATAGTTTGGCAAAATATTTTATTCAGATTTCATAAATATGTCTGTAGATTGAGATATGTTATGGAAAAGGCAAATATGGAATTGTTCACTGAATTCTAAAATTTTTTTAATGTTTATGTATTTTTGAGAGAGAGAGAGACACACAGAGTGATCAGGAGAGGGGCAGAGAGAGAGGGAGACACAGAATCTGAAACAGGCTCCAGGCTCTGAGCTGTCAGCACAGAGCCCAACATGGGGCTTGAACCCATGAACCGGGAGATCATGACCTGAGCCAAAGTTGGTTGCTTAACTGACTGAGCCACCCAGGTGCCCCTGTTCACTGAATTCTAAACACTCAGGAGTTGAGGGGTACCCTTTGAAACTTGAAATACATATTTTTCTTTTTTTTTTTTAATGTTTATTTATTTTGAGAGTGTGCATGTGCCTCATTGTGAAGATTCCAAATTTATTTCTAAAAATGACTAGCCTCAAGTAATATTGTGGTGTATTATTTTTCATATTTTTAAGTTTATTTTGAGAGAGTGCGAGCTCACACCAGCAGGGGAAGGGCGGAGAGAGAGGGAAAGAGAGAATCCCAAGTAGGCTCTGCACTGTCATTGCAGTGGAGCTCGATCTCAGGACCAAGAGATCACAACAACCTGAGCCGATATCAAGAGACGGGCATTTAACAGACTGAGCCACCCAGGCACCCTGAAAAATAAATTTTTCATAATAAAATGGTATGGAAGAGGTCATCTTCAAATACTGTTGTTATCTAAAACTGGAGGTTTAAGAATAGTTCGGATAAACTTGTGTATGATAGATGTATGTAAATTAAATCTAGCAATCCTTTAAGTGCATGTTTTTTTGATTTAAAAAAATAGAGAAAAAAGGTCCTGTGATCATAGAGCTGTGTTATGAAGTGGTAGGTTCTTGGCTCTGTCTATTGTTTTATCTTCCTATTGTTAAACTTTTTATCTCTAACTTTTGAGGCTCTTTCATTAGCTTTTGTGCCCATATGTCGCATACACTTTGTCCTTGTTAATTTTCTGTACCTATAAATAACTACCTACTTTATCAGGTAAACTTTTCCCTGACTTTGTTTTACCTATTTATTTAGACTTCAAAATGTTTACACCTTAAATACTCTTAAAATGGCTGTATCTTCCTAGAAAATAGACACTTTATATTTTTTTCTCATTTGTATGTTTATTATCTCCTTAAACATATGTCTTTTGAGTAGATGGTGAACAGTATAGGATGGACTGGCTAGTGTAGGGACACAATATTTGTTGGTTAAGAACAATCTGTTATTCTTTGCATGGTCATATATGAGTCAAATGTTTTTTGTACATCTCTTCTTTAAACTTCTTGGACATTAATGTTTATTATTTACCATTCTGTAACTTGCCTGTGGTACATATAGTTAAGTGTTTGATAAGTCGTTGGTAGTCTGACATGCTGGAACGGAAAAATTAGAAAATAGTGTAATTTTGAAGTTTAAAATTTATAACATTCCATCTTTTTCCTTCTAATTGTCTCTTTTTAACCCATCCCTTTCAGCAATAGATGTCAGGCTTCTCTTATAATTAACAGATATATTAGCTAGATATCTTCCTTAAAAAGGATATGGAGCAGAGGTGTTGATAGTTGAAAGTATTTTTTGAAAATGTTTAAAACAAATTATTATTGAGCTCTTTTCAAAATGTGTAAGTTCTTCCTAGTCATTTGAAATACATTGTGGTTCTTATTCTTTCTATATAATTTTTGATTATTTTTTTAAGATCTCCAAGAGGTTTGTCTCATTCTCCTTGGGCTGTGAAAAAGATTAACCCTAGATGTAATGATCATTATCAAAGTATGTATCAAAAGAGGCTAATAGATGAAGCTAAGATTTTGAAAAACCTCCATCATCCAAACATTGTAGGTAAGTTTAAATTTATTTCGTAGCAGTATGTGTGTTTATTCAGAAACTGTGTAATAATCTCTTAACCAGTTTCACTAATAAAAATGGAGATGATGGTGGAGTTTGGCAAGAATCAAATTATTGTGACTGTTTTAGAATATAAATTATTATGTAATATTTGTAATGTTTATATATATTTAAAATTTCATGGGAATAAATATAGTCATTATGATGCTGGCACTGTAAAGAATTCAGGAATATACAATGATCTTATTTAGAGAATTTCCTTATTTTCTAATATAATTAAGACTGGTGAAACCATTATATTTAGGAAGGCATAGAGCATTTCATTTAAAAATATTTTAATTTGCAATACTGTTGGCAAGCACTGAAGTCATTTTAAATTATATCTACTGAATTAGTTTCATAAATAGTGGTTTCATTGTATTTTGTCAGTGTTACTCCAGACACGTTTTCGATCACTGTAAAAAAACATAAATACAGTTGTTCTTCCCTATTCTAGTAAGAAAATATCCTGTTTTCTTTAAGGTTATCGTGCTTTCACTGAAGCCAGTGACGGTAGTCTGTGTCTTGCTATGGAATATGGAGGGGAAAAGTCTTTAAATGACTTAATAGAAGAACGAAATAAAGACAGCCAAGATCCTTTTCCAGCAGCCATAATTTTAAAAGTTGCTTTGAACATGGCAAAAGGGTTAAAGGTAACCATGCCATTATGTTTTAAATGACTTCTATGGGACTTTATATACCTAATTACAAGGTGGGATTTTTTTTCCCCCAAAAGAGGTAGTTGCCTTAAGTTAAAGTCTTTATAAACTCTCCTATTGCATAGTGCACTATTTCCTTGTTTTGATCAGCAAAGTATTGTTTGAAGCCTTTACGTAGCCTGAAATAACCCAACCCAGGTAGTTTTGTTTATAGAGATCATGTGTTAGGTGTAGTTAAAAGGATTAATCAGTTTAACACAAATTTAGTAATTATTCCTGGGGGTGCAGCCTAACCCTTCTTTCATGTAAATAAACCTCTTAAGATTGTTTTGTGGGATGTTAAGTTTTGAACATCAGTTTACATGTGTGGGTTAAATGAAAAAAGCTCTCTCAATGTTATGCAAATAAATTGTTGTGACTTTTGATAGATACTGTGTAAAGAAGGAAAACTTTTGTTTTAAAGTTTATTTATATATTTTTAGAGAGTGAGTGCAAGAGAGAGCAGGGGAGGAGCAGAGAGAGGGGAAGACAGAATCCAGAGTAGGCCCCATGCTGTCAGTGAGGAGCCTGACTTGGGGCTTGAACTCACAAATGGTGAGATCATGACCTGAGCGAGATCAAGAGTTGGACACTTAACCAACTGAACCACCCAGGCACCCTGGGAAAAGAATTCTTTATCCTAATAACCAAACAGAAGTAATGCTGGTTCTAAAACACCGTTGAATGACTCAGAAGTGGATCATGATTGATACTGATATCAAAGTCGCATGTTAAGAGTTAGTATGTAAGCCAATTTGACAATAAATTATATTCATTAAAAAATAAATAAAAGAAAAAAATAATTGTATTAGTTTTGGGGCACCTGGGTGGCTCAGTTGGTTAAGCATCTGACTCTTGATTTCAGCTCAGGTCATGAACTCACAGATCGTGAGATCAAGCCCCATGTCGGGCTCTGTACTGACAGTGTGGAGCCTGCTTGGGATTCTTTCTGTCCCTCTCTCTCTCTCTCTCTCTCTCTCTCTGCCCCTCCCCAGCTCATTCGTGCTCTCTCGCTCTCTCTCTTTTCAAAATAAATAAACTTTTAAAAAAAATAATAAGTTAAGCACAGTAAGTGTTCCAAGATACATACCAAAAATTGTCTCTGCAGTGTTTTCAAACCCAGCTCACAGAGTAGATGCTCAGATGCTGATGAACAAATAACAGTGTAGCAAGATTATTTTTGATTATGCGTGAGTAGCATACTAAGAAAGAGTTGGTGTGTAAAACAAAATATAGTCTTAGATTACATTTCTGCTTCCTCTTCTGCTTGTGACCTCTGTGTAGCCCTTAGTCATCTGTTCTGCATCACCTCAGTCATTTGAGAAAAGTGTGCCTCATTGTGAAGATCCCAAATTTACTTCTAAAAATGACTAGTCTCAAGGAAAATTTGGTGAATTTTTAAAAATATATTTGTATTATTTAGAGAGAGAGAGAGAGAGCCATGAGCAGGGGAGGGGCAGAGAGAGGGAGAGAGAGAATCCCAAGCAGACTCCCCACCCTGCCTTAAAGCCTGTTGGAGGGCTCAATCTCACAAATCATGAGATCATGACTGACTGAGCCACCCAGGTGCTCCAATTGTGGTATATTTTTAAAGCTGCAGTGTCTTCTTTTAATAGACAAGTATGAGATGAGTTTGAAAATAAAAAAGTTAGCTTACCTATAAATGGACATTGATTTTCAAAGACTCCTTTAGGTCTGGTCAGTATGGCGGACTATGGTAACAAAGGATGTTCCCTGGTCTGACTTCAGATAGTTTGAAATGATGAACAGATACAATCCTACAGTTCAGGAAGGGAGTTCAAGTTGTTATTTTTGTTTGAAGGTTATGCTATATTTTTATCAGTTTATATATTTGCTCAGATGTATTAAATTTCAACTGTTTTAGTATCTACACCAAGAAAAGAAACTGCTTCATGGAGACATAAAGTCCTCAAATGTTGTAATTAAAGGTGATTTTGAAACAATTAAAATCTGTGATGTAGGAGTCTCTCTACCACTGGATGAAAATATGACTGGTAAGTAGTATTTTTTTTTATTTTTATGCAATTTTTAGGTTTCTAATTTTTACATATTTTTTTTTTTTATTTTTTTATATATGAAATTTATTGTCAAATTGGTTTCCATACAACACCCAGTGCTCATCCCAAAAGGTGCCCTCCTCAATACCCATCACCCACCCTCTCCTCCCTCCCACCCCCCATCAACCCTTAGTTTGTTCTCAATTCTCAACAGTCTCTTATGCTTTGGCTCTCTCCCAC